CCGTTAAGGCTTCGTCGCCGCTGAAATTCAATCCGTACAAGGCGATCAGGTCACTGTCGTCACCGCGAAAGGAAACTCGGTAAGCACTTTTCGATCTTTCATCTGCACAGAAGTTGACCCAAACAACTCCAGTGGCAACAACAAATGGCAGTAGTCAGCTGATGAGTGGGAGGGTATAGGGCTGGGTAAAGGGCGAGTGAAGGCCCACTGCTCAGCGTGACTGATGTTCGGTGAAGGGGCGATGTTCAAAGCACAAGGGTGCACTTATTTGCTATCTAGCAAAACTCACATAAGATTCGATCGCTGCTGAAGCAAAAACTAAACCGAACGCGCATCACTGTCATTGGTCACCTCAACGCCGCACGCGCGGCATATGTTCCCCGAAAAACTCTCGTCTTTTGGCTGGCCGGATCGACCACCTGTGAACGGCAGCGGCATTAAACAGTTGCCTGAATGGTCAAGAGGTTGTAACATTGTGACGATTTCATATAGGTTTAATAAGCTTGAACACATTGCTTACAATTGAAGGGGTATTGTTAAGGGTTGGCAGAATGGGGTTAGAAACGTTCCCTTGTCAAAACTCCCCAGCAGCGTCAGCCGTCCGCTTGGTCAAAATCTTACGGGGAGGGGGTCGTCATTGCGCGATTTGGGGGCGCATTTGGAGATGGCGATGCCAACAGATCGAAAATGGAGTCGTATTCATGGTAGTTTAAGGGTTCCTGTTTGCGAAAGAGTTATGGTTAGACGGTTCTGGTGCGTGTGAGAAAATTCGATAAGAATGAAGGCATAAATTGGCGAGGTGAGAACCTGTCTAGTGAGCGCATAAATCTATAGATAAGGCGCAACGGCTGAAGTTATCCTCCTCCAAGTAGGAACACCAGTCTTGAGCGGGATAAAATGTTTTGACCTTTGGGTGGGATAAAAAAGTTTTGAAAAAAGACCAATGCTAGGGTTGACCTTACTCCCAAAAACGGGGATATTACCCTGAGGCGGGACGAAGAAGAGTAGATCACTTATTTGGACGAAGTTAACACTATTTCGAACCATTGAACCGCGGGGACATCAAGGGAGCAGGATGCTTTACTGTAAGACGTATAGCATACATTATAACGACGTGATAGCAGCTCACTTGATGATTTTTTTCTAGGTGACAGTGAAGAAAGATGAGGCGCAAGAAATGAACCCTCCAAAATTCGACAAAACTGAGGACATGGCGAACTTGACCTTCTTGAACGAAGCTTCTGTCTTGGCGAATCTTAAAGACAGACAGATACAAGGACATGATGATCTACGTGAGTCACCGCCGGCGAGATGGAACCTGGCCCCGGTTACAAAATCTCTTTTCAGACATATTCCGGTCTCTTCTGTGTTGTGATCAATCCCTACAAACGTCTACCCATCTACACAGAGTCCGTGATTAAATTCTATATGGGAAAAAGAAGAAACGAAATGCCACCCCATCTGTTCGCCACCTCTGACGAGGCCTACAGAAACATGGTGCAGGGTGCGTTCAGTAAAAGCTCACCCCTCAGAGTGCGAACTTCTGTAAGTAATCTTTTCAGACCGCGAGAACCAGTCAATGCTGATTACCGGAGAATCTGGAGCCGGAAAGACTGAGAACACCAAAAAAGTGAGATTTGGCCCTCTTAAGGCTATGCTACAAGCTACTAACCCCCATATAAGCTACAGTATGTTACAGGTAATTGCGTACTTCGCAATTGTTGGTGCCACCCAGCAGGCGGCTGAGAAAAGAGGAGAAGGAGTAAAGGGGGTAAGTGAACCAAAGAAAGCAAGCGGCAAAGGGGTGAGATACATTAAACCATTCAGACTTGAAATTTATGAACTATATGATATCGCTGTGTTTGCAGGGTACCCTCGAGGAACAAATTGTGCAGACTAACCCCGTACTGGAGGCGTTCGGTCAGTACTGACGTTCTCATCGTCCATTGCAGAAATTTCTGCAATTCAGTAGGGTTTTCCTTTTAGGTAATGCCAAGACCGTACGTAACAACAACTCATCACGTTTCGGTAAATTCATCCGAACACATTTCTCTGCACAAGGAAAATTGGCCGGAGGAGATATTGAACACTGTAGGTTTTGGGAAAGGACTAGGGTTAGAAAAATTGGGCTAACCTAAATGGAGCGTCTCAGATTTGCTCGAAAAGTCTCGTGTCGTACGTCAAGCTCCCGGAGAACGTAGTTATCACATCTTCTACCAGCTCATGTCCGGCCACAACCCGAAAATCCGCGGTAAGTTAGAATCTAGTAGGCTTCCCGAGGTCCGAGGGATGAGGAGAAGTGAAGGAATCATCGCTTTTTAGATCAGCTGAAGCTGACCCACGATCTCAAGTACTACCACTTCTGCTCGCAAGCCGAGCTGACCATCGACGGAGTCGATGACAAGGAAGAAATGGCTCTCACACAGGTGCGGGAAAGGTTACGGTCTGGGGTTTGACCCACAGATGAGTCACAAATTATAGGAAGCCTTCGACGTCATGGGTTTCGAAGACGACGAGGTTTTGGACTTGTACAAATCTTGTGCAGCCATCATGCACATGGGTGAAATGAAATTCAAGCAGAGACCAAGAGAAGAACAGGCCGAACCCGATGGAGATGAGGGTAAAAAATGATTCTACCCATTTATTTACCAACGATCAGCAGCCCTAATGGCCTACTGAAGTCAAAAATCGAGTTGAAACTGATAAAATTGGATTTAGATGCGCAGAACGTCGCTCACTGCCTGGGTGTCAGCTCTGAAGAGCTGCTGAAATCTTTGACAAAGCCTCGTGTACGTGTCGGTACCGAATGGGTGAACAAAGGACAAAATCTCGAGCAGGTTTGTCGCGAAATACCGGGTTAAATTTCACTGGTGCCTCAAAAAATCAATATTCGATGTCATAACAATTCAGGTACACTGGGCTGTTGCCGGTCTCGGAAAGGCTATCTACGCTCGTATGTTCAAATGGCTTATCGGAAGGTATGGACATAAAGGGTAACCCTTCGAAGATACCCTCCAAAATAGGACATTTTCAGATGTAACAAGACCCTGGATGCTAAGCAGATTGAGCGTCGCTACTTCATCGGTGTGCTCGATATTGCTGGTTTCGAAATTTTCGATGTGAGCTTCAGCCATGGGTCTTTATTGAGGGCTATTGACCATACTCAAAGGGAATGGATTTCAGTTCAACTCCTTCGAGCAGTTGTGGATTAACTTCGTAAACGAACGTCTGCAACAATTCTTCAACCATCACATGTTCGTTCTGGAACAGGAAGAATACAAACGTGAAGGAATCCAATGGACTTTCATCGATTTCGGTCTTGACTTGCAAGCCTGTATCGAGCTGATTGAGAAGGTGGGAACGGACCCTGCCATTAGGGCAATATTCCGGAGTTCTGACGCAGACCCCAAATTTTATCCCGAAAAACTACCTCCTTTTCAGCCACTTGGTCTCATCTCAATGCTTGATGAGGAATGCATTGTGCCGAAAGCCACCGATATGACCTACGTGCAGAAGCTGAACGACCAACATCTTGGCAAACATCCCAACTTCCAGAAGCCGAGACCACCCAAGGGCAAACAGGTACTAATAAGGCTCAGGTGAATGATACTGACGCTCCAATCCCATCGCCCATTTCAGGCTGAGGCTCACTTCGCAGTTGTTCACTACGCCGGTACTGTGCGATACAATGCTACCAACTTCCTTGAGAAGAACAAGGTAAATTTCATGAGTCGAGAGCCGCAAACCCTACTATGAGCCCCTTCTTCAGGATCCCTTGAACGACACTGCTGTCGCCTTGCTCAAGGCTCACTCTACAGACTGCAAACTCATGCTCGAAATCTGGGCCGATTACCAGACCCAGGAAGAAGCCGCTGAAGCTGCAAAGAGTGGAACAGGCGGTGGAAAGAAGAAGGCAAGCGTCCTGAGGGATCCTTCAGAATGAAAGAATTGAAAGGGCGCACCTTT